CGGTACAGCAACTGGTTTAACCACGACCTCAGGTACTGGTTGAGCTTGGATTGTTGGGTTGGTTAAAGATGGCCGATTTGTCGCTGAGGCTTGAACAACAAGAGCAGAAGGAAAGGCACTCGGGGCAGTTGTCCTGGTGGTGTGGCTAGAGATAACATGAATCTCCCATGCTCCTTTCTTCGCCAATTTCTTGACACGTTTTGGGGGACGGGGAGCTTCACTTACCGTCTCAACGTCTGGGTCAGGTCGTTTGCTCGGTGTGTTTTGTGCGGTAATTTTGGATTTCTTGGAGGAAGGGGCCAAGTTTTTCTTGACCACTGTCGGGATGACCATGTCCGCTTGTTTCAGTACCCGACCACCTAAGAAAGCGAAATCTCATTAATAAACCGTTCAAGTGTTTGAAGAATAAAGGTAGAAACAAGGGTATACCTTGGGGCCCTTCTTTAGATTGAGGGGCAAAGGATTTCTTAGGTCGGTCACCAAAAAATTTGTTGACTATGTCCTTGACCAAAGTGCCAAAATAGTTGTGAGTATATTCGTCCCACCAGTCGTCAAAGGTGTCGGTGCCGAGAGATTCAGGAACAGTTGGTCGAAGGTGAAATTTCTTGCACCGTTCCTGAAATTCTTTCTGGATGTCTCTACATTCCCGTTCTGAAGAACTAAAGACGCGCCCTTGGTTTAGAAGGGAACGAGAAGAAAGTAGAGGCACCGGGCAACCTTGGAGGTAGCCAAGCTATCGGGCAGTAAAGCGGGGGTGGTAGACTTCCCAACTTGCTCGGCAAGCATCATAACCAAAGGGAAGGTCACGAGTTAACACGAATGACCCCCAGTTTTGATGAAAACCAGCATCTTCGCTTTCACTCCAAGTTAATGTGGGAAATCTGATAGAGTGGGGGTATTCTTGACAACGACATATCAAAAATTCATCATCAGAAATGACGTCTAGGCCGAAGAGGTGTTTAAAGACTTTTTCATCTTGATTAGGAGGTACTGGTCGAGAGGTCAACTGAAGGCCAAGTGCTACAGTAGACTGGAGGCCGGAGATTTCTAGCCGAAGTGTGGAGAAATAAACCTGCACCTAGTGTTGGAACACCTAGAAATGTCCATTCTGGTGCGGGTCGATCTTATCGATAGTTGTTTCCGCCAGGCAACGAAGAAGGTGGGCGAGGATGGCAGGACTAAGCGCCAGAGAGTGACCACTAGCCAGGGCTTCCACCACTGGCATATTCTCGACCAAGCATTTATTCCATTTGGTATAACAAATGAACTTGTTGTACCAGTAAAATAGGAAGGCATCGTGTTCTCCCTTCCGTAGACTCACTTCCATTCGATCGGTAAAATGAAGGACAAGGGTGTTGTAGTTCAGAAAATTCTTGTGTAATTTCTGAACGTCCTCTTTTGAAGGCTCTTGACCTTCTTGGCTCAATGCCTCGATGGCCCTATCGTCGAATAGGGCCCTGAGGTCAAGGTTTGATGGGCATCTACTAAAGGCGGCATCGACTGGAATGCCAGAAGGAGGAGTCCCGATGATAGCCGAGATGTCGAGGATGGTAGGAGTTAGGGCCGAACGGAAGGACCATGGTGTTGGTAGTCGAACACCAAAGGCTTAGAGCTGCCATGGGGAGTTCTTTATCCATTGTAATCTCCATGGTCGAAAGCTTAATAGCGTCGTGGATACCAAGAGCCTCCCACTCCTTACCGAAGAATTTTTCCATTCGTACGACCCAGGCCACCCAGTTCACATTGGTCGAAGGCCAGGATCCTTGGGGTTTTGTCTGGCACCACTTTGACCAGTCAAATCCTTGCAGCAAACCTACCAAGCAGTATTTTTTAAACAAGTTGATGATGGATGATGGCACCGTGTCTTTGAAGAGTGGGTCCAGAATTAGGTAGGTAGAGTTTAGTTCACCCTCAAAACGCAGAGTCTTGATGGTGTTCCGATCTATGAAGTCCTTGCACTTGTTGCACTCGGGGGAGAGCTCTGAGATGAAGGATGCCATTGATGAAGGCTAAAAAAAAAAATTGTGAGATGAAATCTTAAGGTGTTCTGGGTTTTTGAAGGTTTTGAAAATAAACTGGCAAGAAAATTTCAAGGGATTTGGAAAGCGTAAGGTACGAATGGAAGGGATCCGGGTATTTATAGACATTTGGGACGGAAGGCTAAATGTTTGATTTTCAAAATCAAGGATAGAATTGAGCATGAGATTTACTATAATTATTATACATGCTAAGAAGATCAAGGTGAAAAGACTGAGGTTCACCGTTTGATGACGCACAATGGAGTGTTACGGCGGGTTTAGTGCAAGAGAGACATTTCGGCGGCCGCATGTTTTAGAAGATCATGATTGAAGGTTTCTAGGGTAACCAGAGGGCTGACATGTTGCAGGACAGTTGGGAAATCGAGATCGTGGGGTTACGTCTCATAAATGTGCATGGTGGTATTTCCCAAGAAATTATCCTTAGGTCGGTTTCACTTCTTCAAGGTCGAGGCTCGAACAAGGAGTATTGGTCGACAACCTCAGAAGCGAAGGGGTAATGTTTGGGCCTAAAAATATTAGTTTGGGCCGAGTTTAGAATTATTCTCAGCCCACTATTGGTCGGGCCAAGTTTAGAATTGTTCTCGGCCCAAAGGCCGTATTTAGGTGTCTTTAGGGGTTATCCAGCTCATGAGCTGCGCAGTTGAAGTTGGCCATATCCCGTCGGGAATCTGTGGGATGCGGGTGAGTCCTATTACAAGAAAGAGTTTCGACAAGATAAGGATGCTAGGGTTTAAAATTTAATGCGGCCTGATAACGAGTTAAGATTAAATCCAAGAATGATTGGGATTCAATGCAGGTTGGCTACTATAAATACGGAGGGAGAACATCGAACAAGCCCCCTCCAATTCAACACACAAACTGCCCTATGCAAACTCTTGCTCTACGTGAAACCTCTCAACAACTTTGAGATTTTTACTTTCTTTTTTTGCCGACATACCTTCAATTTGGATAAACAACACTGTGAAGGCAACCAGCAAACATCTTCAGTTTGGATAAACAGCACTGTTGCCGTAGAATCAACAGACTATGAAACACCTTCAGTTTGGATAAACAGCACTGCAACAGGTCGATTGGTTATCTATCCAAGTCTCGGTCGAGAAGGATTTTCAGATCCTTATTAGCAGAGGTCATCTCATCAGCCTTCTTGGCAAAGTGAGGTGTTACCAGGGCTCGGCACATCGAACGCCGAGTTGTTTATGATTGGGTATTCGCAAGTAGGTTTTAGAGTTCGACATTCTGACAGCCGAACCATTTTCATAGTCAAGACGTACATTTGTTTTGAGTATTTATGTCCTTATACTCTGGTGTCGATTCGGCGTGCTTATACTCTCATGAACATAATCACCGTGACTGAATCCGGCGCCGACGATTTGTGAACTTCGCATAACTAGCAATCTTGTCTTCAGGCTCTAGAACCCGAAGGCCGAGACGTGTTCCTTCCTCGGCCGCAGTGGCAAGATCGAGAAGTCAGTCACGTGCTCAATGCAACATCAACACATTTTACTCCTCGACCAAGCTCGACCGATGAGTTGGCAAGCCCCGCACACAACTGAATGACGTAGTTAGCTCATTAGCTACTCGGCTTGCGCGCCACATAGGCTTGGTAGTTTTTAGGGTCAACAATTCTGGACAATGAGATTTAAAGATTGAGTAGTTTAAGAAGATGATATCCTAGGTGTCAAATATTTATAAATGGGAATTCCAGTTGTCGTATGTACTTGGCTCCTGGAAAAATTTCTCTTTAAGATGAGGTTAAGATGGGTGGTGGGAAATGGAGAAAGCATTATTTTCTTGATGCATAATTGAGTTTTTTCTTTCCCTCTATCTAACCTCTTGAGCAATGATCAATTAAGTAGTATCAATTGGAACCTGAAAGTAAATAACTTCATAAATAATTGCAATTAGGATCGAGATTTGCTTTCTTCTGTTGTAGATACATATATTGCTAATAAGATTTATAGCATTCCTTTGCTTCGAGCTCCTCAACATGATTCTATTTGTTGGGGACCTAATGCAAATGGCAATTTCTCGGTTAAATCCACAACTTGGATCCAAAACGGTGTAAATAATGGTTATCATTCTATTGATCTCTTGAAGAGGATGTTGAAGCTTAATATACCACATAAGGTCAAATTATTTAGTTCGTAGCTTATCATGGGAAGACTTCATACTCAAGATCGTTTATCTAGACATGTTAATAACATTCCAACCAGTTGCCCTCTTTGGAATGAAAGTATAAGTATTCTTTTTATGAATTGTACCTTTGCTAACCAGGTTTGGAACAGTCCAGAAATTATTAATACTATAAAGATAAATCATTCCATACAGTTCAATGATTGGCTTGAGTCTCTTAACTATAAGATGGATGAAAATCTAAATGACTTAAGCGTTGCTTTGCTCATCTGCTGGCAATTTTGGAAAGACAAAAACTTAACTGTTTTCAAAATAAAAAAGCAGACCCTAAGAGAGGTTGTTATTGCCCTAAATATTGGCAAGGAGTATTTAAAAGCAAATCAGAAGATTTCAATTTCTAGTAGAAGGAATGACAAATCCATCAAATGGTCCACGCTAATTTTGGCTTTGTTAAATTAAACTTTGATGGTTCTCTTATCAACCAAGGTTCGGCGGTGGGTTTCATCATTAGAAATGAGAATGGGAAGCCTATCGTAGCTGGGGCTCGTAGAATTGGACATAACACTAAATCTGTTGTTGGATGCCTGGCTCTTCATGATGGATTATGGATGGCAAAAATTAGGAGTTTCAAAAGAATCAACGTTCATGATGGATTATGGATGGGAGAAGATGAGCCGATGCGATGCGTGGGAAAGAAGCAGGGACGAAGCTAGAGATTAGTGTGAATGGGGGCATACTCAAACAACAAAGTCATAATTAAAAAGCTCAAGAATTTACTAAACACAATACTTATATATTAATCCATAAAGTTTTTCATACAACAGTCCCTTACAATATCCCTCGACGCATTTTCATGTTCTGAAAGCGTTGCATGACAACATAATTACCAATACCATCAAATATCTTTCTCTCTATAAAAATAACCATGTTGTCATTCATCCATTGATCTCCCATCCGATTTCTCAATCGATTCTTCAGAATTTTCATGGCCGAAAATGCTCTTTCAACGGTTGCAGTAGCAACTGGAAGAGTTAGTGTTAACGTCACAAGCAAGTAAACCAGCGAATACACTTTATGTTTCTTGCATTGAAGCTTTTTTTTTGCAAGATCTCCAATCTCTTTTAAACCTGAAAACTCAATGCTAAACCGCATATCCAAAATGTAATTCTCAAGTTGAATCTTAAGTATCACCAGCTCATTCATAGAGAAGTCTGTAGGATAAAACTGGGAAAGACGCAATAGCTTTTGGCTATCAAAAGCAGAGAAGGAGTTGGCTGGACATAAACATGTCAAACAAAGAAATAACTCAGTGTTAGTCTCATTGAAACGATTATTTAGTTCTTGAAGCTGCCAATCCAAAACAGCATAAAATATCCTAACACAATAATGATGCATATTTATGACTGCTTGTTCTTTTCGTTGCCCACGCCTTCGAGAAAGAAACATATCATCCATACTAGGCACATCAATATCATGTTTAAGACAAAATTCTGAGACTTCACTAAGTAAAGAATTCCAACCATTTTTCCTCATTTTCTCCAACCTTTGCTTACAAACTCCAACCAACTTCATGGCATTTACAATATCCTGATCATTCCTTTGCAATGCTTGTGACAATTCATTGGTTATTCCTAGTATATCTTTCATCAAGTGTAGATTAAACACAAAATCAAATGATTGCATGGAATCCAATAAATTATTCGCTTCACATCTTTGTTGAGAGCTTAATTCATCATCTGTTATTACTTCAAGTACATCAAGTATGGATGAAAACATAGTCATTATACTTACTAAAGAACCCAAGTGTGAACCCCAACATGTTTCTCCAGCACGTTTCAAAGTAGTTTCTTGATTTTTGCCTTTCCCACTTGTAAACTCACCACTGTTTAGTGCTTCAATAACTGCAATAGATTGCTTCTCTCGAAGAAGATCACAACGCTTCGATGAAGCTCCAACAACATTTACCAAAATAGTAACTATTCTAAAAAGAGACTCAATTTGGATGTTCTTCTTTGCCACAGCTACAAGAGCCAATTGAAGTTGATGTGCAAAGCAATGAATATAATAGGCACAACCACTTTCTTTCATAATAAGAGCTTTAAGACCATTGAACTCACCTTGCATATTGCTAGCCCCATCGTAACCTTGCCACGCAACCTAGACATGCTCAATTTATGCCTAGAAAATACCTCATCAATGGTTTCCTTAAGTGAGAGAGCAACAATACTAGTAACATGTTCAATGCCAATAAAACGCTCAATGACATGCCTATTCTTGTCCACATAACGCAATACAATAGCCATTTATTCCTTCGTTGATATGTCGCGAGATTCATCAATCAAAATCGAGAACAACGAAGTGCCAACGTCTTTAATAATAGCCTTGATCGTCTCAGTTGCACAAGCATTTACAATGTCTTTTTGAATATCTGGTGATGTCAATTTGTGATTCTCCAGAGCATTTTTCAAAGTAACGGCTTTCACATCCTCATTGTGTTGGCAATAAATTGTAGAAGCTCAAGAAAGTTTTCATGGTTGCTTGAATGTTCAGATTCATCATTACCACGAAATGCAAGCCCTTGTCTCAAAAGAAATTGACAACAATCGATTGATGCATTCAACCGAGTTCTATATTGAATTCGAGCTTCATCATGAGTTTTAGAGAAAAAAGACTGGATATGTTGCTTTTGACTCCTTAAAGCTTCAAAATTACTCCATGCTTGATTATGTGCACTATTGACGCCTCCAATATGAGTTACAAGTCTTTCTTTCTTCTTCTAGTTAGAAAATCCTTCGCCAACAAAGAAATCACCACCTGCTTGTTCTCCAATGTTTGGTTTAAAAAGGTAGCAACACAGACAAAAGGCAGCATCTTTTTCTACACTATATTCCAACCAAGAAGGAAAATCATCAAACCAAGCAGGGTTGAATCATCTTTGCGTGTCTCCATATTTCTTGTAAGGAAAATTATGGGTTTTAGGTTGTTGAGGACTAGCTAGCACATACGCTCTTCGTACTTGATCTTGAATATTAGGATTGTAATCCAAAATTCGAATTCGCTTACCAGGATCTGATGGAAGATTTGATAAAATAAATTATGTACTATCTTGTCCATGACCATGAGCATCATTATTTTTCTCAATAACTGGGGATGGTGCATTGATATTTTTTTGAAAAACCTCTCCATGATGTTTCATTCTGCAAAGTCATTCATATTGATGCCAATAACATATAAGGTTCATACATAATTTATAGAATTTATAAAATAAAAATATCAATAAAATTCTTAGAATAAAAATCTCAACAAAAATCTCATCTTTTCTAACCTTCAGGATGAAAACACATGAGAAACAAGTTAGATATGCAACTGAGACATTTTGAAAACAAGTCGCTAAAGAACACTTATGTAAAACTTTAACCCTATAACATACTACAAGGGACATTTTGATTAACATAGCAATTTAATCAAACCAAGATCCAACCAAGGCAACAATTCAATTAACCAATACCAATAAGCATACAAATTATTCAACATATAAACATTTAATTCAACTAATCATATGCATAAATGTATACCCATATCCATTTCATAATTTGATTCATCAATAATCATAGAATTCATATCAATAATCAATAATCAATAATCAATAAGTCAATAACCATATTAGTGCATGACCATATCCATACGATTCTATATTAATATACCAATTGAACAAAAATTCATCTTAAATAATTAATTAGGGTTAGCGATTATAGATTTAGGAATTAAAAAATTTACCTAAATATATATATATATATATATGTCGGCTAGAGAGTGGCTAGCTGGAGTGGCTGGGGGAAGAGCAACTTTGCTCCTATTCTGTTCCATTTCAAGCTGTTGGCGTTGGGGGAAGAGCAGCACCATGTTGCTCTCTGATTGGCAAGCCGCAAAGGCTAATGAAAACAAAATAGAGAGATTGAAGGAATGGGAGTCTAGGACCGTGGGGACAAACGGTCCCCCACTATAACATACCTTTTTTTTTCCAAACATATACGAAACGACGTTGTTTCATTTACATTTTTTTAATTTTTTTTACCAGGACCAAAACAACGTTGTTTTGGCCTGGTTTTGAAAAAAAAAAAACAAAGACCCAGCTCTACTTTTGCAGAACCAGATCGGAGGAACTAGAAAAATCTTAGTGGGGGCTTTGCTGCTGCAGAACCAGATCAGTTTGAGCAGCATGCCAACATCAGAAAAACCTCAGTGGGGGCATCCACCCCTAGGCCCATGGTAGCTCCGCCCTTGGAAAGAAGTAGTTGTGAATTGTGATGGCTGTACGGGAATTGATTTGGTTGAAGCGTGATTAAATGCTTTTTTTTCTTATTTTTGTAATTTGAGTCCACATGGAACCAATTAGTCGGACACATCATAAAATTATGGGTCACACATGGTACACATCATCATTTAACAAATTAATTAACAGAAAATTTAATGGATGTATGAAATTGCAATTTTTTTTTGTCAAACGATAAATTATATTAGATTAGATGTTAGATTAGCCACCGACGAGGTTTAAACCCACACAGTCATGCAATGACTCAACAACTTTCCACCACTATGGTAAAAGGCCACTTACTATGAAATTGCAATTATATGATAAGTAATGTATGAGATTAAAATGTTTTAAAGATATTGTATAAGGTTACAATTGCACCCAAACTTGAAAGTGTAAAATGTAATTTACCCTTGATTTTTCTACATAAAGAATGACATGTGGAAAGTCATTTGGGAAATGCCTCCACGATATTTTTGAGACCAATGACATGAAGAAGATGTTAGTCATCTTTGATTTGAAGCAAGAAGTTCCAATTGATGCAGGTGTGTCAGCTTTTTTTCACTTCTGAGAAAGGGATTCTTGTTCGAAGTAATGCACCAGTGTACTACAAGAGATGGATGAAGGCCCTAATTGAAGATAAGGAAAAATTGTTGGCGTCGTTGCTAGTGAGTTTGATTTTACTTGGATTTAGTAGTAATAATTTCAACCACTCACTTATATATTTTTATTTTGATGTTATATACTATTTGAGGTGTACCTATATAATTTGAAGATTCTTGAATTTGTGAATAAGAAGTTAGGGAAGTTGTACTCTCAGTTTAGGTTTCGGTTGCATAGGCACTACTTAAGAAGTCATTATGTAATAAGAGACCAACGAGTCATTGACACTGATTGTGTGATGATATTTACACTACTATAGTCTTTTGGTATGTATTATATAGAACATACTTGAAAGACTATCATAAGGGAAGGGCAAGGCCATTCATCCATGTTGGAAGACTATAAATAAATTCGAAATGACGTGTGTACCTTTTATGCGGAAGCTTGAATCTTAACACGCACCTACAAACACAAACTACTATGACCCTCCGTGCACGTCTAGAACCTCACAGGTCATCGGGTTGGCTATGATATGTCGAGTTGCCCCTTGGTTTTCGCCTCCCAAGACCTAGAGCCGAAAGTGTAGCTCTAAAGACCTAACTAGAATATTTGAACTATGGAAAAACTTGTGTTTCTTGGGTCTTCTCTCTTCCCCAAAGCCTCCTTATATAGTGGTTGGGAAGAGTGTACAAAGACTGAAAAGCCCATGAAAATCCCAAGTATATTCTAATATGAATGTCTCTTGATTTTCATCTAATTATCACATAGATAATTAGGAGGTTAATATCCTCATGTGGGTGGAATATCCTTTGATATTTATTTATCCCATAAGATAAATCCTACATCTCCCACTCACCCACATAGGGTGTGGCATAGTCTCAATCACACACTTAGTTCACATCCATTATAGTCTATCTCCTCATATAGGAAATGGGACGTGCGACCTCTCGAGAAAAAACGTACATAACCAGAAGCACTGCCATTTAGCTATCACTAAATTAACAATAGTGCATCACTCGGAAGTTCATCGCTTTATGTCCCAGACTGTTCGTCACACACTAGACATGACATTATTTATCCCTCGTTATGAAAATAAAAAACAATGTCATGTCTAACAAGTATCATGTATCCATGTCTTATGTTTGATAACAAATATCAAAGGACGCCGTGCAACTAATGAATCATATGACATGGTGTTTTCTTCAAACTGTCTTCCTTAAGCTCTCATGTTATTCTAATTTGATTTAACTGCTTACCTAGACACGCCTCTTGGGATAGTAGCTAACTTGACCATCTTAGATAAACATGCTAAAGTAGCGATCATTAAACCTCATCTTTCTAACATGGACTTTATTTCAAATGGCATAAGGGTGGAATCGTATAGATTCCTTATGGTTCACATAGTGATTGAAGTAGAGATAAATTCATCTCTCCCACTATCAGTCGGTTATAGCACATATAATATGATTTGTATACTATGGTGTATCCTCATGTCAATGAATGTGTCACATGTCCATTGGACGTACACCATATGGATCTTAGTCTAGTCACTACACAAGTGCCAAACTTGAGCCTAGTTGCCTTTTTGGCGCCCACCTAGATACTCATATCTGGCTTTACAAGTTTCAGCATGAAACAAATCTCATGTTTGACTTCTGTTAAGTCTTATCTTAAACATTTATAAGGCGACGTTTACCTTGTGCATATTGGTACGTTCAACATACACATGTCTGGTCTCGCAGTACAATGTGTTGAGGACATAAATGTCTCATCCTACTCGCTATCTCAGTGCTAGGGCGAATCATTCGTGTGAAAAACTGATTCTAGCTTGGTGACACTCGTAAAGATGTGTAAACAATCATTTCAAAAATAAATATGAAATGAAAAACTTCAATTCCTTTTTATTCAATAATAATGTCAAATACAAAGAAAAACACATCAAGCCCTACATAAACCCATATTCTTTACATGAGTAAAAAACAAGCTTCTAATTATGGGTTTAGTCATGGGATCAGCGAGCATATTGCTCGTCGAGATATTTTTCAACACTACTTCACCCTTGGTAACCTTGTTCCTCAAGAAATGATATCATGTATCTATGTGCTTAGATTTTCCATGATATTTAGGATCTTTAGTGTATATTAAGGCCGAAGTACTATCATAGTAGACAAGTACAGCTTCTTGAGCATAAGCTGTAACTCCCATCTAT